AATTAGTGTCAAACTTCATATGCTGATACATACCGATGAGAGCTATTCAACTGCATCAATGTTTTTTGACCTTTACCTTTCCTTTGACCTTGACCTCACTTTTCTCAATTTGTGTTAAAATGTTGCATTACTAATATACCCTCGGCGGGGCATTCATATCCTATGGACATATTTCTAGTTTATAAATTATTTTAGAACTGTAAACTTGTAATTTTTCAATTTTTTTTCATTATTTAGGTGGGATATGACATTGGAGCCAATGGAGAAAAATTACCGGACATTTATATGAATGACCTTGACAACGAGTTAATTCCTGTCATTCACAGTGCGGTCCCTCTCTGTCGAGGAGGATCAGTGGTCTTAGAGCTCATATTTCACATTCTGGAGTGAACACAAGGGTTCCCTGGATTCATTTACTATCAGTTTGTCATACTGTTGTGATATTGATAAAACTAGGTCAGAGCATTGTTATCTCATTAACTAAACATTTTAGTTATATTCAGTGTGTAAGGCTCTTAAAATGGCTGGAACATGTAACAGTTTACATGTATTTTTGTCTGTCTGAAGTTCTTAATGTATAGGTTTTATTTATTCAGAAAATTTTATAAAGAAATATATTTCTGGCCATTTTGCATTGTACATTTTTATAGTACATTGTACATATAAATGATGGTTTGTACATGCTTAATATCATTATCTACATGTTGATAAGTTAACAAATTACAAAGAGAAGAAAGAACAAATTTTTATTTCTGTATTATGTATACATCTTGTATGATCTATAATCATTTCCAAAAAAGTTTAATTTATACGTAATTTTATAAGTACAGTCTATCAAGAGAATATAATATACATGTAGTTCGTACTGAATGGTATTCAAGAAGAAAATGTGTGCACAACAAATTATGGTATCTTAAAATGACACTGATTGATGTGTCACATTGTAGAGGTTGTGACCCATCTTTGTCAAAAACAAAAAAACAAACACAAAAATGAAAAATAGTTGCTGATTTGCCCATTTTGTCAGTCATAAACATTTGTTGTTAAACATTTCATATTTCAGGGATTCCCTATATTTTTATTTATCAAAACTGTCATTTTCCCTAAGTTCAAGTTTTTAGGATTATTTTCAGAGTGTTCTTTGAGTGTCTAATGAAGGAGTAGTTATATTTATTTACTGCATTTTTTTTTTGTTTGTTTGTTTGTATTTTTTTGGCAATACTCTTTCAGCATTTTAAAAATATGATGTCATATATGGTAACTGACAGTCGTTTATTTATTGCTTAGCTAAATTTCAGTATGTTATTTGTGTCAATGATTTTATTTTGTGAAAGTTAAAAAAAAAAACTGCATTTTGAAAATAATACTATTGAAAACATGCATATTGTATGTAATGAAATATTTATTTAGCTTGTAAGCTTTTGTTAAACATAAAATCATAGTAATTGTTGGAGAGATTTATTGTAATTTGTTATTGGTGTATAAAATTGTACATGTATGTACGACAGTCTTACCTTGGTATGAGGTGTGAAGTTATCCACAATAAAGAGATATTCTACCTACAGTTGCCAGGTTTTCATTCCTGTGAGAATGAAGGTAGGAGTAAGATACTTAGTTGACATCCAACTTGATCGTTCCTGCTCTTCCTTAAATGGTTTGTTATAACCTTGACTTAAGGTCATAATACAAAGGTCAAGGTAATCGTAGATACTGAAATTTTGTTAAGGCTAGAAGAACAATTTTAAAAATCTTGAAAACCACTGTTCTAAAGAAGTCAAACATGATTTGAAACCATAATTTAAGTGCAGATTCAAGTTTGTTCAAAGCATGATACACAAGGTTCTGTTGGGGCTTCATGGAGGAGGTGAAGGGCTGGGGGGGGGGGAATTTTGGGCTAGGTGGAGGAGGCCAAGGAATGTGGGGGAGGGGGCTTCTTTTTCGAAGGGATGTTTAGGAAAAATAATGTAAGTCCTCTGAAGTAAAGCATGGAAACACTAACTCACATTGGCATGAAAGCATATGTGTACTGACTGTACTGTAAATTTTGATGATTTCAGTCAAACAGCTGGGAACACATCCTATGAACACTGTAGTGTAGATTCAGATGAGTTCATGTTATGAATCCCCCCCTCCACACACACACACACCTTGGAAAGATTTCTTTTCAACAAGATAATTACCAAAAATACACGAATTTGTGATACGATTTCATTTTCCATTGTTGTTCAGATTAGAGTATTTCTGTAGTGATAGAGAAGGAATCTCTTAAAACTGAACAAAAATGGGAAACATAATCTAGGTTTTATGTGCGAGGAAATTTGTATTTGATGTTTTATCATGTCTAAAAATAATCTAAGAAAGTGTGTTGGGGGAGAGAGGGCGTCACCATTTATATTAGGACTGGAGTCTGTGTCTGAGAACAGGGAAGGAGGATAGAGTCTAAGAAAGAAATTAATGGGAAGGACAGTATTATTTTAACAAAATGTGTCCCTATTTATTTTTTTTAATATTTTTTTTAAATACCTGAATAAAGTTTCTTCATAGAAAAATGTATACGGAAGGAGGAAGGGTCGACTAGACAGCATATACCCGTATGATGTAAAGAATGATTAGTTCATTATTTCGAAAATACGTGCAAGTAATTTATATATAGAAAACGATTGTTATAGATAACCTAAGTACGAAAGCCTTTGAGTATCAAGCAAATAAAAAATTACACCCCACTATCTCGTAATTACAAGATAATTATCTTGTAATTACGAATAAAGATCTCATTATTACGAGAAAGAATCTCGTTATTACGAGGTCTCTTCTCGTAATAACGCGTCAATTATCTCGTGATTACGAGATATATAACCAAGTTGCACAATCTATGAGTGGTCTTAGATGCGTTTAGTTTGGTAAACGGGAAAATGTACCAACTGAATAATTTATTCAATTTTACTATCCTTCGGTAATCCAAAACAAAGAAATTATATTCAGAAATTAAAGAATAATGTAAATAGATTACGAATATGTCTGGGGGTTTTTTTTAGAATCGGGAGGAGTGGGAAAGAAAGTCCATCCCCTTAGTTCCGAACCTTATCATTTGTTGTTTATTTAGTATGACAATGTTCATTGAAAGAAAGTTCCCCCCCCCCTCCCCACCCATTTTGTGTTGAAGTAAGTGAAAACTTCCCATATTGATGTATTAGAAAAATTCTCCAAAAAATTTAACACCCCCCTCTCGATGCATTTTTTTTTTAGCATGGATAATTTTCCAGTTTTCCTCTTTTTTTCTTGTCAAATATTTTCCTGATGAGGTTAATTATTTCTCTTGCTGTCCTCCCTTCTCTCCCATCACTTTCAAAAACGAACAGTTCATAGTATTTCCTGCGTTGAGAAAAATTTAGAATTTTATTTATATGGTCATTGTTATCTAAAGCATTAATGAAGTCTTTGCTAAGTAAAAAAAATCATTTTTAAAGGACACTAGTCCCCATGCCCCGTTTTATTCGACAGTAAAGTCATATTAGAAAAGTTGGAAGAATATTTTGCGTTTTAACAGAGTGAAAATGTATATATCACTTCGTTAGAACAGCATTCTACAAAGCCATATCGCCTTTTCAAAAGGCGTATTAACGCGAAAAAAGGCGTAATAACGCGAAGTGAAAAGGCGTTATAACGCCAATAAAGGCATAATAGCACGAAAAAGGCGTTACGTACTACGCCTTTAAAAAGCGTTATTATGCTCTTTTTAAAGCGTTTTACGTCCGTATCAACATTTTTGAAAGGGGGGGGGGGCAGCCTTGGAGGCTATGAACAAATTTTATTTATTCACTGCAATATTTAAACTAGCTATGGAATTGAATTTTTAAACCTACTCATTTTTTTAATTTGCTCTCTGCCCGAGATTAGTACATGTATATACCTTTTCATGGAAAACGAAAATAAAATTGTAATATCGTCTTTTGAAAAAGCCTAGAATGGTCAAATAAGAAAATAAAAAAAAAAAATTGAAAAGTCGTAATTACGAGATAAAAAGTCGTATTAACGAGATAAAAAGTCGTTATTACGACTTAAGAAAGTCCTAATAACGACTTTTTATCTCGTTATTACGACTTTCTTAAGTCGTAATTACGACTTTTTATCTCGTTATTACGACTTTTTATCTCGTTATTATGACTTTCTTAAGTCGTAATAACGACTTTTTATCTCGTTATTACGACTTTTTATCTCGTTATTATGACTTTCTTAAGTCGTAATTACGACTTTTTATCTCGTTATTACGACTTTTTAATTTTTTTTTTAATTTTCTTATTTGACCCTTCTAGGCTTTCGTAAAAAGGCGTTATAACGGCTTTTTTATTATTTTTTTTTTAAAAGGCGTTATTACTCTATTCCTAAAAACATTATTACGCCTTTCCAAAAAACGTTATTACGCCTTTTTTTCGCGTTATTACCCCTTTTCATTTTGCGGTATAACGCTTTTGAAACTATGATATGTTTTCTCCATAGATTGATACTAACAGCCTTTCGTCTTCGTAACAAAGAGAGAAGAGCCGGGAAGGGGGGGGGGTAGGAGTAGGGGAGATTTTTTAAAATCAGTATAACTTCTACATTTTTTAAGGAAAAAAAAAATAAATTTTGGATTTTTTATGAATATTTAAAAGCTTTCAAACATTGACATCTTATATAGACGCGTTGTCAAAAAGTTAGATCTTTTAAAACATTGTTAATCTTTCCTTTTCAACAAAATTTTAATTGTACCTTAATTGGTACATTAACAAACTGAACTGAATTGAATTGAATATTGTACTTGAAAACATTTCATGTAGCAAAAAGCTAGGGCGAGCTGCGATTCAATTTTTTGGATCAATTTATAAATTATTAAATAAATTTATAATTTATAAACAATTTATTAACAATTTATAAATTATTAAATAAATTTATTATGTCTTAAGATGTACCTGATACACCTTATGCGTTTTTCATTGCCCAAATCCGTTAATTAGTCTACC